AAGTGGCGTTTACTCATTTTTTAAATTATGTAACATTTGTTACATTCTCATTAAATGTAGAGAATACGTGAAAATACAATATTTACATAAACATAACTATGACACCAAAAACAGTCAGCGTAAAAACATAAAAACACGACAAATGTTATTGTCATCACCCAAGATGGAGGAATAAATACAATTCTATTTGTGTTTTGTGTATTTACATTATTACAGTATTTTCAATTATATTCCATTTCCTTATATTATTAAAGTTATCATATTGTTGTGCTTTATTTATTGCTGTTTTATTAATAATATATATATACGTTATTCCTTATACAAATCATCATAAAAACACGTATTGTATTTTCGTATGTCAATAAAAGAACTTGTATGACAACAAGCGGTCCGTTGTAAATTGGAATTGTATTAAAAATACCGCTTATTCATAAACATCTGGAGTTAGTATGCGGCCATTATGTGGACTCCCAGTGACTTCGTGTGCAACCCGATTCAGACCACTGTCAGGTGGTGTTCTGGTGATGACCGGTAGCTTATCGATCGCGAAATTTCGGCCTCGAGATGCCCAATTCTAGGCTATCATGACCATTCCTAAGAAGCATTGTGTATGCTACAATTGAAAGTAGTGTTAGGCCTTCCGATCGAAATGTTCGATCATTAGTTACACACACAAACACCCAAACTGGATGAAAAGAAACAAGAGGACGGTGACGTCAACCATCTTACCGAACTATAATGTTGTTTTGAAATTTTCCCGAGTTTTAAATTATGTTATTATGGTTTTTTCATGACTGACATCTGTCTATATAAGGCGGCATATATAAAAATCAGACCTATCGAGTTTCCCACTTTTCTTTGATGTTGTTTAGGTACCGTATCATGAAAGCCTATTGTTATCTGAGTGATATGCAATGCTACAAAATACGTGCTAACGCGCGCAGTCTAAGTGCACAACCGAACAGTAAAAAAATTGGTTTTAACACAAAAATTATTAGTTACACACACAAACACCCAAACTGGATGAAAAGAAACAAGAGGACGGTGACGTCAACCATCTTACCGAACTATAATGTTGTTTTTAAAATTTTTCCGAGTTTTAAATTATGTTATTATGTTTTTTTTTCATGACTGACATCTGTCTATATAAGGCGGCATATATAAAAAGCAGACCTATCGAGTTTCCTACTTTTCTTTGATTTTGTTTAGGTACCGTATCATGAAAGCCTATTGTTATCTGAGTGATATGCAATGCTACAAAATACGTGCTAACGCGCGCAGTCCAAGTGCACCAACCGAACAGTAAAAAAATTGGTTTTAACACAAAAAACATCGACTATTAATTTGCATTGATAAGCTGTTGTAAATGTTGTTCTCTGTAGAGCAATGTTAATCAAACTTAACAACTGACCAATCAGAAGGACCGAGAGTACGTGCGTGTCCTGCATACGCACGTGTTGTCATGCAAACGCTCGTGTTTTGCTTACATTTATATTACCTTTGTGTGGGACTTTAGCAATAATATCCAAGGGTCCCGGCCGCGGAAAGGTTCATTTAGATGAACCGGTACTAGACGCAACTAGCAACTGCACTATAATATAACGCATAATACAATTGCTTGAGTTTTCGTCAACCTATTGAGTGTTTACCAATATCAGTGGATTCAAAAGTGGGGGAGTGGTATCCGGAGCACTCCCCCACCCCCCAGATCTTTTGAAATTATGAAAAATAAAGAGAGAAAAAAATTGTATTAAAATTTAAGTGTGAGAGTGCCATTTCCGGCCACATGGGGGTGCCATAATCACAATTTCTCTCACCTCGGCCCCAACCATGATGGGGCTGAAGCAGTATGACCCACTATCTTTCAAAGCCCCCGCCCTGGGCACCCTCTATGTCGAATTTCTGGGTCCGTCACTGAATATTAACGCATATAGTGCGTCTGTATGTCTGTATTCCACATAATTATATACTGTAATAGGCCATTTATGTAGGTCTACGCATAGGCCTTCATGTATTTTTTCTATAATTTTATAAAAACATAGGCTATTACGATAATCAAAACATCGAACACTAGGCTCACAGTTTATATTTTACTTGTGCGTTTAAAATGATATCTAGAGTGCAGCTGGTACGTTGAGCTTGCAGATAAATTCAAATTAAATTACCATTAATCATAACGAGAGACAATCAGTTTTCAAGGCTGCATGTATTGCAGTTTAATACCTTGTTTTTTTTTTTATTACGATATGTGTAAACATGTAAAGAGAGCGGAAGAGAGTAGAGGGATAGGCCTATTATATACGTGCGCGTATGATATAGCGCCAACAACCCATGACCGTCAAACTCAGTCTTTCGAAATTCGTTATGAGATGTTTATTTCCCTTTGAGGCAACAGTGTGCAATACCCATCTGCGTCGTTAAATTAACGTATTTATTAGTTAATTCATTTGTATGCAGATATATACTGTTTCATATACAGTACGTGTATTGGCATCGCCAATATAGAGAGGGCGGCATTGTAATTTCTTAGCGTAGCAAGAGACTTGTTCCGTCTTGCGAAATTACGCTTTGCTCAATTTGTCCCATTGATTCTGTTCAAGGCAGGATGATTTGTTATAGTGTTTGTGTTTGCATGTCCTTCCAAGTCTTTTTTAGTTTAGCTCATTCAGTTATTTTTGGGTCTTCCTACTGGTCGTTTTACTTTGCGTTTGAAGTCTTCCAACAGTTTTTTTTTTTTTTTTTTTTTTTTTTTTTTACTGTGTTTCATCCGATAGTGTTTTTTGTACCATTTTAATATCCTGCGTTTAATTCTTATGCTCCATTCTTCTTGTTTCGTTATGCTCCGTTTGAAGTCTTCCAACAGTTTTTTTTTTTTTTTTTTTTTTTTTTTTTTTTTTTTTTTTTTTTTTTTGCTGTGTTTCGTCCGGTAATGTTTCCGTCTTATTTTAACATCCTGCGTTTAATTCTTATGCTCCATTCTTCTTGTTTCGTTATGCTGTATAACCTTGCGTTAGTAACCTTATCTGTTAATTTAAATGTTCAGCATCTTTCGTAACATTTTCCTATGATAGATGTCAATGCTTTCCTTTAAATCCATTCATGACCCAAAGTTCACTGTTATAGAAAAGTACTTGCAACGTACGCGCCGAACAGTCGGCATACTTCTATGGACATGTTTCTGTTTTAGTGAGATTTTAACTTATTGTAAGCCATAGATGCTAATGATCAATCAATCAACTTATTTCGGACTTAGGCCTACATATCAATATAACAAATATAAATATAATAAGAAAAAAAAATTAAACTGTGTGTGATATATACAAATTACAGAATATCTTTACAAAGATACAAGATACAAAAATGACTTTATTGCAAATTTAAGGAAAGCTTGAAATGTACAAAATAATTTAAACTAATATTTATTTAAAATTTTTAAAATACATCAGATATCAGTTAAAATATGTAAGTGGAAGTATTCATTACAACATTAAATGCAAAATGGAAATGTACAAAATTTGTATAAAGAAACAGGTATTCATTAATAAATAACAATAGCCTATTAAAAATGGTACAAAAATAAGATAAACAAATATAGGCCTATAAATATTTATATCTTTATTATTTAGTTAATGGTGACACCACCCGATGGCAGCGTCTAAATCTGGATTTTAACGACCAAGCCAGAGAAGACAAATCAATTTATTTAGAAGCAAAATGCAAAGAGATGGAGAAAGAGCAGGGGAACACCAAGAAAGCATTTTCCATATGTAAAGAGCTGACTGGACAACACAGCGAGAGCTGGTGTCATTAATGACCAGCATGGAAATACTTTGGCAGAAGGAGAAGAAATCAAGAATAGGTGGGCAGAATACTGTGAGAATCTATATAAAAATATAGACTTGGATGCAGGGACGTATCCAGGGGGAGCCGTGGGAGCCGCGGCTCCCCCCCCCCCCCCTTTGTACACAGTGTTAAAATGTTAAAGCTTATTCTTGAGCCAATACAAATTCTTTCCTGGGATCACTCAAAATTAATACTTCTAAACATGTAAATATGCATCAGTACAAGTTATACATAGGCATAATAGAACACATAGGCCTAAGCGTGATTTAAAAAAATCTTAAATCCATAAATCTCAGGCCAGGTCTTTTAAGATAGAAATGCGATACTGTTTTTATCCTTTTGCAAGTTTCTTTAAATGTTTGTTTAATAATACTACTACTAATAGTAATAATAATAATAACAATGATGATGATGACGATAGTAATAATTGATAATAATATTAATAGCAATAAAAAGTGAAGAAAATTGTTCTAAATGCGAAAAAAAAGTTGTGATTTGTTGATCATACTATAGTATATATAGTTAAAGCTTAGTAAGCTATAATTAGGCCTAAGTTGTCCTGGATATTAAGTAGATTCCAGATAAAAGATCATGAGAAATTTGTTGCCGTTTCATTTTGACTATAATGGTAATGTGATGATGATGAATTTTACTATATAAAAGTGTCATTTTCGGCCATCTCGAGAGGTACTATTTCCTCAAATTTTCTCACCTCAGCCCCAGCCATGGTGGGGCTGAGGTGGCTTGTGTATTTCCAGCTCAGAAAAACAAATTTCATGTACTGTCATGTATAGACGACATTAAAAGTAATTTTGAATCTTGAATCTATCTACAAAACAAAATATAATGTCGTAAAACCTCGAATAGAAGCCCTGGGCCCCTTTTTCTTTTCTTTTTTTTGCGAACTTTGGATGGGCTTCTTTTCCAGATGGATTTCTTTTCGAGGCTACTTTTGCAAACTAAAAGTGGGGGGGGGGCGCTTCAATTCGAGATGGACTTCTTCTCGAGATTAAGCCCATTGGGCTTCCATTCAAGGTTTTACAATATGCAAATCATCATTCCTATCGCTGAGGGCGGTATAGCTTCCGCCGTTTCGCGACCCCCACGTGCCCTCGACTAGAATTACACTGATTACACTTTCTCGTTTCAAGATTTTCGTGAATTTTGAGTTGGGCGGTGTTCTAGGTGTCCTTTTTATTTGCACATTTATAGGCTATTTTGCAACAATTTTGTAACCAGCATACCGCTGCATTGTAACTAATAGTTCGTAGAGATGTATCGTAGTGAAATCGAGGCTTATTAATTGTCTAAAATCATACGAAATAGATGGACAATATGCTAGTTGATGTTACAGAGGCTGTGGACCTCGTGGTGTGCAAGCATGCAGGCGAATTCGACACCCAGACCTTGAGAAAGATTCTTGCAAAACAGGTAAGTTTGCAAAACATTCTGTCCTCTTGTTTGTAAAACTTCAAATATAAATTATAATACTTTATGTCACTATTTAGTTTTGTTAAAAAGCCCTATTTATCATTGTATTAGTTTACCTTTAGAGATTGTTTTAATTAAGTTGGAAAGATAAAACATAAGCCGTAATAAAAGTTGTTCTCGACAAAGTCGAGAACTTGCTCGCGTGGTGGTGCTAATGGTTTCTACTTGTTGAATACCTTACGAACTTCTACTGCTGAGTGAAAAATGCATTGCAATTTCGCTGAATTAGTCATAAGATTTTTTATGCTTCTATAATTATGGTAATGTAGCTAGGCCTAGCGCATATATATACAGTATATATACTGTCTCTTATACACATCTAGATGTGTATAAGAGACAGGGAGCCGTGGATATAGGATAATATATATATATATGTAGGCCTATATAGGATATAGGCACCTAATGACTAAAATTACTATAGGCCAGCAAACATGTACATTTTTAGTGTTTTACTAATCGATTTTAATAGACGCTTTACACCGAAAATAACACTAACAGTAAAATGTCCAATCCAAATAAATTATGCCTTTGTCAATTGAAAAAACCCCAGCCATTGCCCAGCAATGCAGAGAACCATTTTTAGTTTAGTGTACTTCACACCACCTTATAATAAGTCCTAATTGTTTTGGTGCCTAATAACACTAAAATTTCATGGCCCTTTCCAGACTGCTTTAGTTTAGTCTACATGCATGTTAATGGTCATATTCAACTGATCGTTCTTCGTTAAACCACGCCCATCTGCGCAGTGGTAAAATCCTACTTAACAAAGACGACCAGTCGAATAGAAAACTGGTAAATACTCAACAAAACAAAATGGTTGCATAGTTATCGCGATACACGCTGCGTAACCAAGACTGCTTTGGATTGTGGCAGTATGGGTTTTTCGTAAAAAAATGTTTTCATCCAGTTTTTGAATTACTACAATTATTTTTTGACTTCAAAGTGGGTAATTATTATAATTTTTATTTTCTTAAATTTAATCTAAATTATATAACGCAAATTTTGTTTGACTTGATGCTAATTAACGCATTGTGGTTACGTTAATTTTTGTTGTCAACGAAGTCTATTTTACTAACAAAAATTCTTGCTCAACGAAATGAACCAATCGAATAAGCCCATTGTGCGGGCCTGTGTGGGACTGGGATTTTAATTGCCATAAGTAACTATTGATTGTTTAGGCCTATGATTTCCAGTCTTTAAACCCATTAAAAAGCATTACTGGCTACGATTCACCATGCTAATTTTAACCAGTCATAACCCAATTTATATTTAGTTCTGCACCTGCCCTCATCAAGATCAATTGACATAAAACAGTACAGTTAAGCGGCTCGAGGTTGTGTCAACGGGAGGCACTATGTAAATAACGCACGATAACCCCTCGGATATTATGTAGTATACGTAAAATGAAGATGTTGCATGGTTGCGGAGTTGTTTGTGCTTGGCGCCAGCGGTCGGCTATTATATTTTTTTTTTAGGGGTGTTCATGTATGAAGGTAAATTCAGGTATCTCACTCGGACTACCAGTATTGTTGGGCCATTCATTGAATTTATTGTTGATCTGTGAAGCGAATATGCTTTTTTGCATTATGCACTAAGTGTAACATTATTATTTGAATGGTTTAGAATGAAATTGCAAATTGGACCGTGTTGAATCTCGTGCATGACTGAGTACTCCCAGGGATCTGAGATGGTTCATTTGTGCATGATTAATGTAACTAATGGCCTGTAACATTTAGGAACCACACTGGTGGAAATAATCTTTAGTACTTCACTATGTTTGTGTTTTATGAATGTGTTTTATACATCAGAATGTATAATGAAATAAGTATTATAGTTCAGCCTAAGGCTTTTGTTATAAAAGCCCATCTTGGATCTGCATTGTAAGCCCATCCTCGAATTTTTAAGTAATTTTTATGAAGAATGTCCTAATGTCCTAAAAAGATGTCTTAGGGGTCTTTGACCACTGGCTTAAGAAAGAGGCCTGTGGCCCCAGACTAAGGCTTCTTTGGGCCCTACTACCATGTGGGATGGGTTAGGTAGAAACCAGTTGGTTATTGGTCAAAGCCGTGTCCACTGCTGTTTTTGATGTTTTTTACTCTTTTTGCTCACTTTTAAAGACTTGCTCTGCTACAGTAACTGTGATTAATATCCATGAGCCACTTTAAAGGTGTCGTCTGGGCCCTGGCTTTAGCCAGTGCTGAGCTTATACTGCTTAATGGCAAGTCTCTGCAAAACTTGATCTTTAACAACCCTATCAGAATACATTACTTTAATATAATATAATTTTGTTATTGTTAATTGTATGCTACTGTACTGCTGATTAAGTAGATATTAGCCATAATATAAATCAATATTTAAAAAAATAGAACAAAAGAGAGAAATTACATTGTAACTAAAGCCATGTAAAAATATAACTGATTGGTTTAAAAAACTTGAGGAGGGGAAGTCTTCATATTTAGCATCAATTCCATGTGGATTCTGTATGGTACTCGGCCAAGTGCTCTTGTCATTTGGTAGAGGATTGGAGAATTTTCTAAGCTGTCCATATGGCTTAAATAAGCATATTGAAAGGAATGTCTGTGGGAGTTAACAGTGAGTTTTCCTCTCCTGACAATCATTTAGGCTGTTTTCTCATGTAGCTAATGAGGAATGAGACATAATAATCAGTTTTACATGACCTAGAGTTATCTGTGTTTAATGGAATTAAAATACTAAGTCAAATCTCACTTTCAAAGCATCATTATAACATTCAATAAAATATACTCATCAGTAACAATTAAGTCTGCCTGGCAAAAAAATGAAAGAAATTGCTGTTTTTTTACATATTGAAATTTTAATAAAATATCATTTTCATTGTTTTTGTTTCTTCCTTTTTGTTTCTAAGTTTGAAAACAACTGGGATTGAGAACTTTTAAAATTAAAAATATATTATGAATACAATTGAGTAGTTTAAAATAATCATGATTGTATTTGTCAACATAATTTTAATACTTTAATAGTTTATGAATTATAATTTTAGTCAAACTTAACATAATAATTTAGAGTTTTTGTCTGTATTTTACAATTTGTATTTGATACAGTTGCCTGTGTTTTAATAAGTAAAAATCAGTCATAACATGCATGACAGAGTGCTGAATTTCTTTAAAGACAATAATTGTGATTACCGGTACTCTCTGTAATGAAAACGGTGTCAAGAATGGAAAAAAAATCATTCTTATACCGTAAAGTATAAAATGATAGCAACCCATATGTAAACTTCTATCCCACTGGGAAGACTGTTTCTATCTTCAATAGTAACTAGTCTTTCAAATTGGAAGGCTATCCCTTTACTCTCAAGTGAATAAGGATAGCCTCCCCAATGTATAACTTACACTTGGGAAATGCTTTTACCACCGTACAAGTATGTAGGCCTTGACTAGTACAGTAATAGTTCAGAGTTTGTACTTAATGGTTTTGACATTTTCCTCATTATTTAATTATGCTAATTACCTAATAATTTAAATTGTAGGTTTGGAGCAGTAATGATAGATACCAAGTTCTGTCAACCTTGTCCGATCTGCTTGTCAATCCAGAATGCTGTGTAACTGTTGCAGAACACTGTCGACCAATCCTGCTTGACCTTCTACACAGGGCAGCAGAAAAAGTTGTGAAAGACCAGTTCTCATTGGTTGCCCATGAACAGCTCTGTATCGCTATTGGTAAGCTTCTACCACTTCATCCAGATGTTGTACAGTAAGTTTGTTTTTTATTTTGTTTGAATAGTAAACATTCTTTTGTTGTAGACAAATAATTAAATAGTAGAGTGGAAGTAAAAGATATTATTGTAAGTACGATGATTTTGCTTGCGCATGTCTGTCATTAAAGTGTTTATATTTTTAGGTTTGCAAGCAAGTACTTTGATAGGGCGCCTTCACCTTTCCACCGTTTGTGTTCCCTGGGTAAATTCAAGGAGGTAGGTTTTGGTTTACTGTTCCATGTCTGTTTAAATTTGAAAAGTATAGTACTTCATCAAAAATATTTTATCAAACATTTTCTATTAAGTCTGACAGACAAAAATCTGTTTGCTTATGCCTAGCATAAAATATTGGCCCTTTCATTCCTGTCCCTAAATGTGCAACATTGTTGGTTTTCAATTAGTAACATAAGATTCATTTGGAAACTTAAAAATGCATGATGCAGCCTAGTTGTCTGCATATAAGTTCTTGTATTTCATTGCAAAGTCTCTGTATGTTTGTGTTGCTTGATTCAAATTGCAAACGCTTTAAGTGGCTACAACATGAAAGTTGCACTGCTATTTTAAGTGGCATTTCTTCTTGAGGCCAAGCAACATAACGTAACCATGGAGACGCTAAATGTGACCACACAGAAAAGCCAGATCTTGGCTGTGATTTAAGTTGTTTTTAATGGGGTTAGATTTTCAACAGTTTGACCGAGCACGACCTTTGTACCATTAACATACCACTGTTTGAGTTAGTTGATACAAGGATTATTAATTACACCATGCTGGGTATTTTGGAAGTAATAAGAGCAGTATTAGTGAAAGTGTAGGTCCGTCTAATGCAAGCCAATTTCATGTTGGCTTAAATTCTGATTTTCTAATGTATTCCAGATGTTTTAGTTTCGAAACAAGTCATACGGTGTCCATATAGAATTTAAAGGTGATAATAACCTTGTTAGAATTTTTTTTTTTTGGGGTCAGTTTATTTCGTTGAAGATTGTTTTCATTCAACCAGATTTTTTAAGCGGACTCCCATTATTTACAAAATTTTATTGATACTTGATGATGAACATCAAAAGACAAAAAATATATATATATATAAACAAATTATCACAGAATTAATTAAAAAGGCCACTCAAGTTACAATAGTGTTCTTGTTATAAGCCCACCTATGGTACTGAATTCACGATTCTCTACTCAGTTATAAGCCCTTCTAATTGGAAACTATACATTTGCAAAGCCTAAGTCCTCATCTTTACCCCTCAGAGATATAGGCTAGACCTAGTCTATCTAGGCCAATAGACTGTTCTTTTGTAAGCCCATCCCAGAATCGGTTCAATTTTATGTTCAAAGGGGTGGGCTTATTCATGAAGTGGTAGAATTCACACTGTCCCTGCATGGAGGAATTAGTCTAAACTAATTCCTCAATGGTCCCTGTCACCTGAGGTTTCTATTTGCCAGCCATGCTTATAAATATCTAGCAATGTTAATGAAACTATTGGTCACAACAAATTCAGCTGTTACTACCAGCCTCACTTAATACATAGCTCACCAGAATTACATACACACTGATAATGTTAATGTTAGAAAAGCTATTTAGTTAAATAATTTGTTTATTTGATGTAGCATACTATGCCATAGTCAGCCTCAGGAGAATCAACTTATTATTCGGTCAGTGGCGAAGTCATGCTTGAGAAGCAACCATTTCCTCTGTAAAATACGTGCACATAGAGCAGAATGTATTCAGCATATTTGTACCAAAATTTAGAGAGTTATATGTGACAGGCTTAATCAATCAACCTATAGGAGAGTTGCTTGTTACCTATATATTGTGTGGCTAAGTTGTTTGTACTATTGGTATGTGCATATAAGATAAGATAAGCAGAAATAAAAGTGCCAATTATTTATATTTTTCAACACACTTGGCAGGATTAAAGTGGAGGGATTTAGTTGGTTGTAAAGGTTAAAATATGTACTGTAGTACTAGGCTCTTGGTAATAAATCATTAAAGAACTTCCTTGATGTTTCTGATGAACTACAGGTTAATTGTGCTGAGCTGTTGCAGATAGTGCACGCTTCCTGGATGACACTACTTCATATGCCTAGCGTGACGCAAGATAAGTGGGATTGGAGTCCATTTCTACAGCTTACAAAACACGAGATTACTGATGTCAGGTGGTAAGTGCTAAGTATTCATGGTTTAACATTGGAATTAATTGTAATAATACAATTATGAATAAGCTCTTCATTTGAATTCATGTTCTTCAATTAATCATCAAGTATTTTGTTTTCCCCATAATTTATTTCCTAGAATTACAAAATTTTCTTCTGAATTGTATGTTATCTCAGAATAGGAATTTGTTTCAGAAAAGGAATATCCTTCCCATAATTGTCATAGTTATCTTTATTGTAATTATAATTTCCATTTGCAAATTTGTATTCATCTTTCCCAGAATTATAATTGCCTTTCTATGTATTGAAATCATCTTTCCATGAAATGATACTGGTAATAATAATAATAATAAATTATTATTATTATTATTGTTATTGTTGTTGTTGTTTTAAATCTTTTTAGAAATGTAATAATCTTTTACCCTCATCTTTCCCAAATGTAATCCCTTCTCTATGAATATACCACACCAAAAAATTTATAATCCCTGTCAAAGTTTATTTTAGTACTGACAAATATGTTTTTAGGTATGCAGCCCATATTGTATCCACTGTGCTAATGATGGTGGAAACTGTGAAGACGACTTTCTTTGAAACGCTCTTCACGTCTGAAGAAATCCGAACACTGACTGTAAAGTAAGTACTACCATTAGGCCAAGTAAAAAAAAATTATTGTGTTGGCCACGCCCGACCAACCCAAAATGTACGAAATTGAGGTTCGGCATTTTAGGTATTTTTAAAAAAAATTTTTTTTTTTTTTTTTTGACTAAAAAAAAATTTTTTTTTTAATGAGCTAAAAAGACTGAAATAAGACTATCTTGCTGGACAGTAGGTGACGTGAGTTGTGTGATTGTTTTGCTTTTAAATATAGATTTAAAAATGGTCTTTGTCCTTTTTTTTGTATTTTCTACTTTTTAGGCATAAACACATTTCCTACCAACATTTTCAGGATTTTGTCAAAAACGTGGCCAACTCAAGAATTTTTTTTTTTTTTTTTTGGCCTTGTCGTTTGACAAAGAAAAAATTGTAATAAGTAAATTATTAAGCCTGTGCAATAATTAAACATATTTTATTTTTTGTCAGGACCAACAATTCAAAGGCTTTGTAAAGTAGTCTGAGTTAGCTACACTTACTTCAGATAAAGTAGTAGGAAACTTGCCCATGTATAGGCATAATGATGTCACTTACCCATATGGGCAAACTGGATATTTGCCACATCAGACGCAACAGTGTTCTTTTTGATAACTATCTTTTAACTTTATATATATATATATATATATATATATATATATATATATGTTTGTGTGTATGTATGTGTATGTATATGTATGTATATGCACATGTGTATATATATATATATTTATTTTGTGTTTATATTTTTGGATTTCTATATATTTTTAACTGGTGGCCACGGCTTAAAGTTTTATTCTAAACTTATTTTGGCCTCCTTCCACACACTTATTCTGTAATGTACTATTATTCTTAGTTGGTTTTACTATTAAGCTTTTGTTATGTATG